CTATCTGTCTGTCTCGCTCATCTGTCTATCTGTCTGTCTGTCTGTCTGTCTATCATCATCTCTATCCATAATCTATATCCGTGATGGCGAATTTATGGCACGCGTGCCACAGGTGGCACACAGAGCCGTGTCGCCTGGCACGCCAGCTCGGCTTGCTGTCCCTCAGCCTCTCTAGGAGTCTCTGGAGGCTGGGGACAACAAAAAATGTCACTTCCTGTCCAACCGGAAGTTGGGAAACGGGCCGTTTTGGGCTTCCGGAGGGCCTCTGAGGTGGTGGGGAAGGCTGTTTTTGCCCTCCCCAGATGCATAGAGAGGATCTGGAGCCAGGTGAGAAAGAAAAACGGGCCTACCGGGCCATCACGTGCCAGGAGCAGTGGGGGAGGGGGTTCGCACGCACATGCGCAGGGCGGGGTGCATAGAATTATGGGTGTGGGGGAGCGCATGCGCGAATCTCCCCCGCCCCCCCCCTTCCTGGCAAAAAGATTAGCCATCGCTGATCTATATCTACCCTGTTTCCCCGAAAATAAGACCCAATCGGAAAATAAGCCCTAGCATGATTTTTCAAGATTTGTAATATAAGCCCTACCTCAAAAATAAGCCCCAGTTTGATATTTGATATATCAAATAGCTTATGAATGACTATTAGTATTAGAAGTATTTGGTTATCTGTAGTGGAGTTAAGGTTTCAGTGGGGGAGGCAGTACTTTGAGGATAAGTAGATTAATCTAGTTTATGTTTGACTAAATGAAATACCTTGTATTTTGCTCTGGGAAGTCGGGGTGGTAGGGTGGGATGAAGGGGGACAAAGGGTAGGGGGAACGGGGGGGGGGAATATTTTTGTATTTCTTTTTTGTAAAACTTTTCAATAAAAAAAAAAGCCGAGTTAAAATCATCAGCCAGGCGGATGCAATTAGTACCATATTTCCCCAAAAATAAGACCTAACCAGAAAATAAACCCTAATGCATCTTTTGTAGCAAAAAAATAATATAAGACCCGGTCTTATTTTTGGGAAAACACAGGTATAATCTGTCTGTCTGTCTGTCTAATCTATCATCATCTCTATCTATCTATCATCTTTCTATCATCTATCTCTATATAGGGATATAGAGATTATCTACCTCTAGAAAGATGGATAATCTTTCTACATCTCTATCTATCTATCTTTCTACATCCATCTCTCTTGACCGGCTCAAGGTTGACTCAGCCTTCTGTCTTTCCAAGGTTGGTAAAATGAGAACCCAGATTCTTGGGGGGGCAAGAGTCTGCTTGGAGAGGGGCTATAAAGCCCTGTGAAGTGGTATATAAGTCTATTGCTATGACTATCACCTCTCTCTTTCTCTCTCTCTCTTTCTCTCTCTCTCTCTCTCTCTCCCACTCCCTCTCTCCCTCCTCCCTCTCCCACAGTGGCTAGAATCCAGCCTAACTCTGCTCACAGCCAGGAGTTCAATCCTGACTGGCTCAAGGTTGATGAAGGAAGGAAGGAAGGAAGGAAGGAGAGAATGCAGTATTGCAGGCTGACTCTGCCCACTGCTAGGAGTTCGATTCTCACCAGCTCAAGGTTGACTCAGCCTTCCATCCTTCTGAGGTGGGTAAAATGAGGACCCAGATTGTTGGGGGCAACAGGCTGACTCTCTCCCACTCCCTCCCTCCTACTCCCTCTCTCTCCCTCCCTCCCTCCCCACAGTGGCTAGAATCCAGCCTAACTCTGCTCACAGCCAGGAGTTCAATCCTGACCAGCTCAAGGTTGACGAAGGAAGGAAGGAAGGAAGGAAGGAAGGAAGGAAGGAAGGAAGGAAGGAAGGAAGGAGAGAATGCAGTATTGCAGGCTGACTCTGCCCACTGCCAGGAGTTCGATCCTAACTGGCTCAGTTCCATCGTTCCAAGGTCGGTATAATGACCCAGATTGTTGGAGGCAAGAAGCTGACTCTGTAAACCACTTAAAACACTGTGAGAAGCGGTACATAAGTGCTACATGGGAAGAGAGGAAGGAAGGAAGGAGGGAGGCAGGGAGGGGGGGAGGAAGGAGGGAAGGAAGGAAGGAAGGAAGGAAGGAAGGAAGGAAGGAAGGAAGGAAGGAAGGAAAGAAAGAGAGAGAGAATGCAGCATTGCAGACTGACTCTGCCCACTGCTAGGAGTTCGATTCCAGCTCAAGGTTGACTCAGCCTTCCATCCTTCTGAGGTGGGTAAAATGAGGACCCAGATTGTTGGGGGCAACAGGCTGACTCAGCAAAATGCTTAGAGACAGTTGAAAAGCACTGCCAAGCGGTATGTAAGTCTAGGCACTCTTGCTATTACTAGATGAAGTATTCCCGTACCGCCTTCATTCCTCCTCTCTCCATTTATGATTCCACTTAATTAAGTTATAAGGGAGAGATAATAATGCCCTTAAAGTTAGAAGCAGGAACATTTGCATTAAAAAGTGGAGGGGGGGTTTGTTGCATAATTTCCCATCTCCAGAGTTTGCAGTGAGAAGAAAATGTAGCCTGTTGGGGAGCAGAATTATCTTGAAAAAAATTGCAAAAGAGATGAATTCCCATCCTTAATTCTCATCGGAGGTCTTCTTTAATTATCATCCATAAATGGATTCTAAGACGTCCCGGATTTTTTGTTAATGGATTCATTGACTTTATTTTTGAAACCTCCCCGTTATCAGATATCTCAACGCAGACGATTCTTGCTGTTGCTATCACCATCCTTACGAATTTCATATTATTGTGGGACTACAGGGAATCCTCGACCTACAACAGTTCGTTTAGTGACGGTTGTTGGAAGAAATGTCCATCTGGGTTCAGTTCCAAGTGGGAGAAAAGACACTGGATTCATGGAAGTTGCTTGGAAAGAAGGTCTATTGATGAACAGGATCACATGCCTTGGAGATCCTGGGCAGAAAAAAAGGGCAGAGATGCTGAGAGTGCCTGGGTTTTGTGCCCTCTGTTGGGCTTTGAATTTGAGCTTGTGTTCTGATTGGTTGTCAGACTCCCATGGGGACGTGCAGGGGCAATTCTGTAAGGTTGTGTTTTTGAGTCCCAAGCTTGGTTGACTCTTGCTGGGTGATGCTGTAATGAAAGGGCTTTGGGCAATTCCTACTATAGCTCTGCCTGAAAGAGGTAGATCTTTGTTATGTAGAATAGACTGGCCCAGGCCTTAGGATTTTGTTCACGGGTGCCTGCATGGGCTGGCCTATCATCACAGCAATTACAGAATAACAGAGTTGGACGGGACCTTGGAGGTCTTCTAGTCCAACCCCCTGCTCAAGCAGGAGAACCTACACCATTACAAGACGAGTGGCTGTCCAGTCTCTTCTTAAAAACTTAAAAGCACCCACAACTTCTGGAGGCAAGCTGTTCCACTGGTTAATTGTCCTCACGGTTAGGAAATTTCTCCTTGGTTCTAGGCTGCTTCTCTCCTTAGTTAGTTTCCATCCATTGCTTCTTGTCTTGCCTTCTGGTGCTTTGGGAAATAGGTTCCCCCTCCTCTTTGTGGCAGCCCCTCAAATACTGGAAGACCAACATATGGGCGGTGCATAAAATAGATGATAGACAGACAGACAGACAGATGAGAGAGAGAGAGAGAGATGATAGATAGGGGGAGAGAGAGAGAGAGAGATATTAGATAGCTGAGAGAGACAGAATGAGAGAGAGAGAGAGAGAGACAGAGAGAGAGAGAGACAGAGAGAGAGATGAATGGATATAGACATAGACATAGACACAGACATAGACATAGAGGATAATTAGTTGGATAGGTGGGTGGGTGAGCGAGTGTTTGGATGGATGGATAAGGTAGATAGATGATAGATAATAGATAGATCGATAGATCGATCAAGATAAATAGATCGATAGAGATGGATGGATGGATGGATGGATGGATGGATAGATGGTTGAAAGGTAGAGATAGATAATAGATAGATAGATAGATAGATAGATAGATAGATAGATAGATAGATAGATAGATATAGATAGATGATGATGATAGATAGATAGATAGATAGATAGATAGATAGATAGATAGATAGATATAGATATAGATAGATTAGAGAGAGAGAGATGGATGGATGGATGAAAGGTAGAGATAGATAATCGATCGATCGATCAATAGAGATAGTGTCAGCGTTCCAATTTATGATTTTCCCCAGTGCTGACATGAATGAGAGAAAGAGAAGCCTTGCTTTAATGCTGAGATGAACTTTCACTTAGTTTCCTGCTCCTTGGTAGATAACGTTACTTAGGTGATAGAGGGAGGGGGGAATTCCTGTGACTGGAAAAGGCTTGGGACGGAGAGATGGATCTGCACGATGGCCAATGAGACATTGGGGAATAAAGAGCGGAAAGGGAGGAGTTTGGAAGGAGATGCCAGTTCTGGCTGCACCAAGAGTTCAGGAATGATGTAGTTAATTCTTAAATAAAGAAAAGATTCATCAAAGACTTTGCGTTTGAGAATGAAGTTTATTTGAGATAACACTGAATCCTGACAGATAGATAGATAGATAGATAGATAGATAGATAGATAGATAGATAGATAGATAGAGATAGGTAGGTAGGTAGGTAGGTAGGTAGGTAGGTAGGTAGGTACAGTAGGTAGGTAGGTAGGTAGATAAGTAGATACAGTAGATAGATAGATGATAGATGATGGATAGATAGAGATAGATAGATAGATAGATAGATAGATAGATAGATAGATAGAGAGAGAGAGAGAGAGAGAGAGAGAGAGAGAGAGTAGTTTGAAACTGCAGTACGTTTCCAGTCCTCATGATTCTCAAATATTGGAAGGCTGCCGTCAATGCCACCCCTACTCCTCCTTTTCATTAAACCAGACACCCCCCAATTCCTGCAACCTACTTTGCAGCCTCCAGTCCAGTCCCCTCATCATCTCGTCGGGGATCCAGCCAGCCAGATCCTAAGGAAAGAGCTGTCTTCCCTAAAGAGTCCATTTCCTGTCGGATCTATTGAGTCTCAACTGCCACCTTCAAGAAAGCCGAAAAGGAAACAAGCAATCAGCCCGATCATTACTGCAGAGGGGTTTTTTTTTCTCTCTCTCTTCTCCTCCTCCTCCTCCTCCTCCTCCTTGGTAAATAAATCTCCTTCTTGAAACTCCGCCATTAGACATCATCCATCTCCAGATGAGAAGCAAAAGGTCGGGCGCTGAGCCCAGCAACAATACATAAATTAATTAAAGTTTCCAAGAAGGGAGGTGAAAAAACAGGACGCCAAAAACAAAGCTTAGCTGGAATTGCCACCGGAGGAATGTCAGCCGATAAGACCAGGGATGCTGTGAGGCCCCAGGTGGGCCGGGAAGTTCAACCAGGTGAGAATTTGGGGACTTTTTGAGCATCTTTTTCCAAATGTGGGGCAGGGGAAAAAAAAAAAACCATCGGAAGTCACTTTCCTGCAGAGGATCAGAGGTGGGTTTCGGCAGGTTTTGACCAGCCACACCCACAGAACCGGTAGTAAAAAAATTTGAAACCCACCACTACCAAGGATGTCATAAAGCAGAACGAGTCTGGGTGTCCCTTCCAAATCGGGATGAAAATAAAACCGGCTATTTGCAGGTGGTCCTCGACTTAACGACTGTTCGTTTAACAATTGTTCAAAACTACAACAGCACCGTGGGGGCAGTGGTGGAATTCAATTTTTTTTTACTACCGGTTCTGTGGGCGTGGCTTGGTGGGCGTGGTGTGGCTTGGTGGGTGTGGCAGGGGAAGGATACTGCAAAATCCCCATTCCCTCCCCACTTCTGGGGGAAGGATATTGCAAAATGTCCATTCCCACCCCATTCTGGGGCCAGCCAGAAGTGGCATTTGCCGGTTCTCCAAACTACTCAAAATTTCCGCTACGGGTTCTCCAGAACCTGCTGAATTTCACCCCGGTGCCTTCCCTGTCTGAGCTTCTGTCCTTTGGATGAGACAACTCCGGCGCAGTTGTCCTGCAAGAAAACTTCAGCAAGAAAATGTAAAGGTTTCCGCTCCTTTAATTGAGCATCCGTGAAGTCAAGGGGGATCTTGTCTCCTTTAGAGAAACTCAGACTGAAGCCCAGCTTCCCTTAAAGAGGAGATTTCCAAATTCCGCTCCCAGAAAGGATCCGCTTGTATATAAAATTGCATTAGCCATCATTGGGCCGTCTCTGCAGACCAGCCTGGCAGGCTGGAGATGTAAACCTTGAAACACGATTAATCTTCAGAGCCTTTGGCCTGTTTTTTTTTTCTCTGCTGCTGCTGCTGACCTTCAAAGAGGAGAGTGGGGTGGAGGGAAGCAGAGCTGCAGAAGAGGGAAGTTCCCTTAGAGGCCATCACAGTGGACGTGGCAGCTGGCTGGGAAAAGCCGGCGACGTCGTGGTGGGAGGATGGCAGTGGAGAGGGAGGGCAGGACGGGCATGGAGGCGTTGCCTCTCGTTCTGCTGAAGACATTAGGACCTCGAGGGCAGAGGGCTGGATGAACTTACAGGGAAGGTTCCTATACTGTGTCTTACTGCAATGGGTGTGGGGGAAGGGTGAGTAGGGGACTGACTGGCCCCTGGGTATATGCTGCCAAGGGAGTCTCCCTGAGGTGATGGGATGGCAGGAATAGCAAAGCATAGCATAGGATGAGCAGGAGGAAGGGAGGGAGAAGGAGGAAGGGAGGGAGAGGAGGAGGAGAAGCAGGAGATGGAAGAGGGAGGGAAGTAGGAGAAAGAAGATGAGGAGGAGGAGGAGGTGATAGAAGAGGGAGGGAAGGAGAAGAAAGAAGAGGAGGAGGAGGAGAAGGAGGGAGGGAGGGAAGGAGAAGAAAGAAGAGGAGGAGGAAGAGGAGGTGATGGAGGAGGGAGGGAAGAAGAAGAAAGAAGAGGAGGAGGGTGGGAGGGAAGGAGAAGAAAGAAGAGGAGGAGGAGGGGGAGGAAGAGGGGGAGGGAGGAAAGGAGAAGAAAGGAGGAGGAGGAGGGAGGGAAGGAGAAGAAAGAAGAGGAGGAGGGAGGGAAGGAGAAGAAAGAAGAGGAGGAGGAGATGGAGGAGAGAGGGAAGGAGAAGAAGGAAGGGGAGGAGATGGAGGAGGGAGGGAAGGAGAAGGAGGAGGAGGGAGGGAGAAGAAAGAGGAGGAGGAGGAGATGGAGGAGGGAGGGAAGGAGAAGAAGGAAGGGGAGGAGATGGAGGAGGGAGGGAAGGAGAAGGAGGAGGAGGGAGGGAGAAGAAAGAGGAGGAGGAGGAGATGGAGGAGGGAGGGAAGGAGAAGAAGGAAGGGGAGGAGATGGAGGAGGGAGGGAAGGAGAAGGAGGAGGAGGGAGGGAGAAGAAAGAGGAGGAGGAGAAGATGGAGGAGAGAGGGAAGGAGAAGAAGGAAGGGGAGGAGATGGAGGAGGGAGGGAAGGAGAAGGAGGAGGGAAGGAAGGAGAAGAAAGAGGAGGAGGAGGAGATGGAGGAGGGAGGAAAGGAGAAGATAGAAGAGGAGGAGGAGAAGGAAGAGGAGGAGGAGATGGAGGAGGGAGGAAAGGAGAAGATAGAAGAGGAGGGAGGGAAGGAGGGAGGGAAGGAGAAGAAAGAGGAGGAGGAGAAGGAGGAGGAAGTGTTATTGGATGGGGAGGAGGAAGAGGAGGGAGAGAAGGAAGAAGGAAGAGGAGGAGGCTTACCACATCTGGGTTTCATCTACAGGTAGTCCTCAACTTCTCATCATCCATTTAGTGACTGTTCCAAGTTACAACAGCACTAAAAAAAAGTAATTTATCAGCCGTACGACTTTTGCAGCATCTTCATAGTCACGTGATTAAAATTCAGAGGCTTGGCAACCTCTGAATGTCGCAGAAGGGGATTGCATGACCCCAGAACAGCACAAACCGTCAAAAATACATGTTAGCTGCCAGGGGTCCAAATTTTGAGGATGCTGCAACGGTCATAAGGGTGAAAAACAGCCACTCAACAAAACGGTTGTAAATCGAGGACTTACCTGGAATAGTGGCCTCTTTTCCCTCGATGTCTCTGCATGTTCACCTGTCTGAACTGCTAGCCCTGCTAGGTAGACCAAGCCAAGAAATCAGCCCTTAGAAGAAGGGTGAAACACTCAAAGCGAGATTGGCTTCATAATAAAATCTTGCCAGTCCCTAAACAAACGGTTGTAAATTGAGGACGACCTTATCTAGGTTATTGATTTGTTTCTTCCTCGAATTTGCACCATGTCTACTACCTGGTGAATGAGATGAGGATGGCCAGCCTATAATTTTGCACCTATTTTCCGTGGGAAAAGATACCCTTGAATTCTCATCTTCCTGGTCCAGCAATAAATTGCAATAATTATTAACACCAGGCACCAATAGGCAGAGACATCCCTGTTTCTCCTTCTATTGATTTATGAGTTTTATTGACTATGTCAATTCCCCGGTGGCGTACAAAGCAAAACTTAATAACAAAATAATATCTAACGATAATTTTAAAACCCCACCTCCTGCCCTTACACTCACTGATTAAAAGCTTAGAGCAAAAAAATATATATAATAAATTCCCGCCCTTCATCCAATCAAGCCATCAAACCAGCTTGCCACATCGGGGTTTTCACGTAGTCATCAACTTATCATCATCCGTTTTAGTGACCGTTTGAACTGACGTAACAAGACTGTTTTTCACCCATACGACCTTAATAACAAAATAATATCTAACGCAGGGGTGAAATCCAGCAGGTTCTGTCAGGTTCCGGAGAACCGGTAGCGGAAATTTTGAGTAGTTCGGAGAACCGGCAAATACCACCTCTGGCTGGCCCCAGAGTAGGGTGGGAATGGGGATTTTGCAGTATCCTTCCCCTGTTTTGCCCACCAAGCCACACCCACCAACCAGGGGTGAAATGGTCCCGGTTTGGACCGGATTGCTCGATCTGATAGCAATGGCAGTGGGTGGTTCGGAGAACCGGTAGCAAAAATCCCTGCCCCCCGCACCCGATGCCCAGCTGAGTCGCGCAATTATCAGAGGCTTTTTAAAATTATTTTTAAAAGCATTTTTTCTACAACCTCTTCGGCTGAAAAAATGCTTGTAAAAGTAAAAAAAAAAAAAAAGGCTCTGATGATCGCATGGCTCAGCTGGGATCATCAGAGGCTTTTAAAATATTTTTTTCTACAGCCTCTGGCTGAAGAGATTGTAGAAAAATTGTTTTTAAAAGAAAAAAAAAAGCCTTTGCCGATCAGGCAACTCAGCTGGGATCGTCAGAGGCTTTTAAAAGAATTTTTTTACAACCTCTTCGGCGGAAGAGGTTGTAGAAAAAATGGTTTTAAAAGTTAAAAAAAAAAAAACAGTTGGCCACGCCCACCCAGTCACATTACCCCACCACCAAGCCACACCCACAGAACCGGTAGTAAAAAAATTTGGATTTCACCACTGATCTAACGGTAATTTTTTTTTTTTTTTTTATTGAAAAGGTTTTCAAATACAAATTTTTCCCCCTTTTTCCCCCCCTCCCCCCCCCTCCCTAACCCCCCTCCCCACCCTTCCCCCCTGTGACTTCTTCGTAACAAAAAAAAACCCTAATTCATAACAGATTACTTACTCCCTCCTCAAAATACTGACCTTTACTTACTAAAAGTATTATAAATCCCCCTTTATCCATACATTTCAGAAAAGAAGAAGAGAAAAAAAAACAAAACAAAAAAAAAAAACCAACACATTATACTATACTATACTAACGGTAATTTTTAAAACCCCACCTCCTGCTCTTACACTCACTGATTAAAAGCTTTGCGCAAAAACAGAACAGAATGAATGAGCTGGAAGGGACTTTGGAGGTCTTCTAGTCCAGCCCCCTTCTCAAGCAGGAGAACCTATACCAGTGATGGCTAACCTTTTCCGTACCGAGTGCCCAAAGCACGCGAATAGCGTGTGTGCACTTGAACCCCAAAATGCAATGTGCTTGCAGGCCCCACGCATACTCCCCACCCCCACGCATGTGCACGCAGGGGCCCCGCATGTTCCACACCCCCTGCGCAAACGCACCCGCCCCCCACACACACCGCCCCCTGCACATGTGTGGCAGAGACCCGAAGACTGGTCAGCAGGAGGCACACGCCAGATGTGGGTTTCAGCAGGTTCTGACCAGTTCTGGAGAACTGGTAGCGGAAATTTTGGTTAGTTCGGAGAACCGGTAAATACCACCTCTGACTGGCTCCGCCCCCATCTATTCTCTGCCTCCCGAGTCCCAGCTGATCGGGAGGAAATGGGGATTTTGCAGTAACCTTTCCCTGGATTGGGGAGGGAATGGAGATTTTGCAGTATCCTTTCCTTGTCACACCCACCAAGCCACGCCCACCAAGCCATGCCACACCCACTAAGCCCCACCCACAGAACCAGTAGTAAAAAAATTTGAAACCCACCAGCGAAGCTGAACTGAGGCGATGGCTCATGTGCCCAAGGAGACGGCGCTGCGTGCCACTTCTGGCACATGTGCCATCGGTTCACCATCACGGGTCTAGAGTCTAGTGCCGTGATGGCGAACCTATGGCACGCGTGCCACAGGTGGCACACGGAGCCATATCAGTGGGCATGCAAGCTCAGCTTCAGTGGGCATGCATGTGCGTGCCAGCTGATTTTCAGGTCTTCTGGGCCCACCGGAAGTTGGGAAACAGTCTGTTTCTGGCCTCTGGAGGGCCCTCGGGGTAGGGAAGGTTGTTTTCACCCTCCCCAGGCTCCTAGAAAGCCTCTGGAGCCTGGGGAGGGCAAAAAGCAGGCCTACCGGGGCCACCGTGCCATCACGTGCCAAAAGCGGAGGGAGCGCGGGGGGGGTCATGCGTGCATGCGCAGGGGGACGGGACACATTGAATTATGGGTGTGGGCACACACGCACGTGACCCTCCCTTGGTCCCCCCCACTTTTGGCACGTGACGGCAAAAAGGTTAGCCATTACTGGTCTAGTGGCTTAGCCTGTCAGTGCTGATCAGTTGCTTCACAAAAATGTTTTCATTGGTGCCAGGTCTCTACAACCTCAGGCAGAGATTCTGCACCCCGCCGAGTGGTGGGTTTCAATTTTTTTTACTACCAGTTCTGTGGGCGTGGCTTGGTGGGCACCGCAGGGGAAGGATACTGTAAAATCTCCATTCCCACCCCAATCCGGGGAGAAGGTTACTGCAAAATCCCCATTTCCTCCCGATCAGCTGGGACTCGGGAGGCAGAGAATAGATGGGGGGCAGGACCAGTCAGAATTTTTACTACTGGTTCTCCGAACTACTCAAAATTTCCGCTACTGGTTCTCCAGAACTGGTCAGAACCTGCTGAAACCCACCTCTGACCCCGCCCTCAAATGTTCTTTAAAATACAGAGTTTCCCAGCAGCATTCCTTCAGGAACTTCCAACATGCAAACTGCGGTTACTCATCCTAAAATGAATCCCCTTTACCCGGAGCTTCAAAATTTGCTGTTTGCTGGGAAGGTGTGTAGCTAAAAGCCAGTCTACATCAGTGGTGGGATTCAAATAATTTAACAACCGGTTCGCTGTCCTAATGACTGGCTGGGTGGGCGGGGCCATGGTGGGCATGGCCAGGGGATGTGACAGGCAGCACTCCTGCACCCCCTGGGAGCAAAAACGGGCCGCCGGGGCGGGGGACACGTGCCCCTCCCCAATGCTCCATTTTGGGCCTAGTAGGCCTCCCTGCAGCCTTCTGAGAGCGAAAACAGGCCGCGGGGGGCGCATTGCACTCCCCCTACGCTCCATTTTGGGTCTAGTAGGCCTCCCTGCACTTACTTGGGAGCCAAAATTAGGGCTTTCCCCCCCGCCCATAAGCAGTGTTTCTACAAAGTCAGCTTATTGCCCCACAATCCGGGTCCTCATTTTACCTACCTCAGAAGGATGGAAGGCTGAGTCAACCTTGAGCCTGGTGAGATTTGAACTAGCACAAATTGCAGGCCTCTGGCAGCTAAGTGCTACATAACAGCACTTAGTCTGCACCACTGAGGCTCTTTGCGGTGGAAAATTCACTTAACCACTGTCTCACTTAGTACCGTAATAGAAATTTGGGGCTCAGTTGCGGTCCTAAGTCGAGGACTGCCTGTAGTTTCCAGCGGTTTTTCTAGCTTTCGGATAACACCGTTCCTTCAAGCGAGAATCGTACATTCCACTTCATATTGGAAAATGTGTTTATAGAAGTGTTTTTATTACTTGAACAAAATCGCCGAGATTCGATTGCGCTAAATCACCATCAGTCAATTCCAAAAGGCAGCTTGGCTTGAAACGTCCGACATCCAGCCACATATTTTTCCCTGGGTTTTCTAGGTATCAAGTTTGTTTTGTTTGTTTGTTTATGTTTAGATAAATAATATTTTTATTTATATTTAAAATTTAAAATTATATTTAGATTTATATTCCGCCCTACTCCCGAAGGACTCAGGGCAGTGAACAGGCACAAAATAAAATACATAGATACAAAAGTTAAAAACATAATTAAAACCAGATTAAATAATTTAGCCCGAGACAATTAAAAATCCCAATAATTTACGTAAGTAAAATAAGTAACGCTGTTAATTGTGTCCTTCAAATAAAAAACGTCCCTTTCGCTGCATGTTGGGAAGTGTATTTATAGAAGTGTGTTTTTATTGTGATTATTACAGCTCAGACAGTACCGAACAGAGATTATGGATAAATGCTCACTTAAAATGACAAGAGACTGAAAATAGAAATAGAAAGATTTTTCAGCGATGTGTGGAAACCTGGAAGAAGACGAGGACCGGAGGGAAATTAAAATAAACCCAAGACTTTGGAAATGATGTTTTGACATTCTACACAGTGTGAGGAATGAAAATAAATCTTAAATTGTAGAAATGCCGATCGTAAAAATCCTCTCATGCGGTGGTGAGTTGCTACCAGTTCGCCCCGGAACAGGCAAACCGGGAGCGGCGGCGGTAGAAAGCTCCGCCCACCCGCCCGGATGTTTCTGGGCATGCGCAGAAGTGGTGTGCGCATGCACGAGCGCACCCACAAGCAAATCGGTAGCGACGGGTTTGAAACCCACCACTGCTTTCAAGGTTACACAGGGAGAAAAATAAGGGGCGTAAGTGGCAGTTGCCTAGTGGTTAAGGCATCAGGCTAGAAAATGGGAGTTTCCAGTGAATTCTACTCTAGTCCTTAGCCATGAAGGCCACCTGGTTGACTTTGGGGAAGGAAGGGAGGAAGGAAAGGAGGGAGGGAGGGAGGGAGGGAGGAGGGAGGAAGGGAGGAAGGAAGGGTGAGAGAGGAAGGGAGGGTAAGGGAGGAAGAGAAGGAGGGAGGGTGAAAGGAAGGGTGAGGGAGGAAGGAAGGAAGAAAAGGTGAGGGAGGGAGGGAGGAAGGAAGGGTAAGGGAGGAAGAGTGGGAGGAAGGGTGAGGAGGGAGGGAGGAAGGAAGAGAGGGAGGGAGGAAGGAGGGAAGGAAAGAGGGGTGAGGGAGGAAAGGAAGGAAGGGTGAGGGAGGGAGGAATGATGAGGAAAGGAGGAAGGAAGGAAGGGTAAGGGAGGAAGAGTGGAGGGAGGGAGGGTGAGGAAGGAGGGAGGGAGGAAGGAAGAGAGGGAGGGAGGAAGGAGGGAAGGAAAGAGGGGTGAGGGAGGAAAGGAAGGAAGGGTGAGGGAGGGAGGAATGGTGAGGAAAGGAGGAAGGAAGGAAGGGTAAGGGAGGAAGAGTGGGAGGGAGGGAGGGTGAGGAAGGAGGGAGGGAGGAAGGAAGAGGGAGGGAGGAAGGAGGGAAGGAAAGAGGGGTGAGGGAGGAAAGGAAGGAAGGGTGAGGGAGGGAGGAATGGTGAGGAAAGGAGGAAGGAAGGAAGGGTAAGGGAGGAAGAGTGGAGGGAGGGAGGGTGAGGAAGGAGGGAAGGAAAGAGGGGTGAGGGAGGAAAGGAAGGAAGGGTGAGGGAGGGAGGAATGGTGAGGAAAGGAGGAAGGAAGGAAGGGTAAGGGAGTGTCAGATATAAATGCCTTATTCTCCAATGTGTAAATAGTGTACAGACAGGGTATCAGGGGTTAATTTATTCTTCACTTCTTAATGTATTCATAATTCACCACTCCCACACATAGCTCCACCCATTGTATATATAAGGAGCTACCCACACCCTTTCCTTTGCTTCTATCTGTGAATATTCAGTGAATATAGAATGCCTAATGTAAATAAAAGAATATATAGTTAAATCTTTAACTCTTGTTGATCTTATTGAGTCTGATCCTGAAAATATTGCAACTAGCTGGTAGCAGAGGATGGTTAATTGACTCAATAAAAAAGCTTTAAAATGTCTAAGAAAGATAGGCCCAACACCAGGGCCTACAGCAAAGAAATGGAAACGGAACAAGAAATAATCAACGAATCCACGAATGCAATTTCGAGAGAATCCGAAGAATACACCACTGAAGACGAAGAAATAATTGATGACCAGGAGGAAATCGAAATAGAAAATAACGAACTCAGGTCAGAGATATTAAAACTATTAAAAAGCCAGAAGAATGATGAAAGCCTCATCGCGAACCTCCAAGATATGCTGAAGAACAGCGGAGCAGCGAGAGAGAAAAACATCATCAATGAAAAACCCAAAGATCCAAAAATAGTGAGTAATATGACTGCGGAGAAAATCATTACAAAGAAGAAAAACGATGATCCCGCGCAAAAATTTGAATGGCGGCCATCTTGGTTTCAACCGGCCTCCAAGATGAACGAAGCAGAGCCAATCAGCAAGCTCAATTCAAAATTTCTGGCGCGAAAAATATTATCAGACAACGAAAACGAAAAGGAAGATTCAAACACCTCAGAAGAATCAGAACCAGAAAGCGAGGAAGATCCAACAAAACACCAAATAAATTCAGCGATGAAAACGCTCTTTGCTGCATTTGGGCCAAAACTGAAAATTACTAAAAAGACACCAAAAAAGCGAACGAGCAAGCCGATGCCTCAAGACCTGCCCGCTCCCATCCTGACTACTAGAACGCTGACGCCGGAACCCAGAGAGCCCTGCCGATACCGCCCTACGCCGCAGACCGAAGCAAGCACCAACGCTCTCAATAGAAGAAGAAGAACAGCCACCGTCACCAGAACCCCCAAAGTCGAACCAGAGACCGACTCATCTGAAGAAGAGCAGAGCGAGCAGGCCGCGGTGAGGAGAACCTTCCACGACGACGCCGAAGAAGAAATGAGCAACGCGCATGCGCGAAACTACGCTGACGATCCGGGAAGACATGAACAGGAGAGAAGATCATGCAGACTCGTAGCGAGCATCCCCACGCCGTTTTGCAATTTTCTGCATTTACAAGACCACGGACTACCTCAGGTTGTAAGTAATGGACCCAATAATGTCGGAAATTTACCCAGTGACTTCCCAAAACTAAGGGTTGATGGCATTAATTTACAAGAATGGTATCAACAGCTCCAGGTTGTCTTTATGAAGGAAAACTTACTGTTTTTTATCACTAGTCCCCCAAAAAGACCTTGGACACTAAAAATAGATTGTTTACACCATAGAGCTTTTTTCTTAATAATATCTAGTGTGTCTCCTGCAATGTATCACAGCATTAAGCCAAATTTGACTGTTTCAGAAATTATTCAATGCATGTTTAATTTGTATCACAGTGACAGTGTAGCTACCACCACAAGGATATCTAAAGACTTCTTTTCATCTAGGATAAAACCAGGGGTTTCCATAAGTGAACATTTAATATCTTTGAACAAAATAAGAGCTGAATTGCACTTGAGGGGGGAGGTGATTTCAGACCAAACAATGAAAAGTGTTATTATCAACTCACTTGATCCATCATGGGACAATTTTATGTCACATTTAGACACAATTAATCTAGGGTATTTATCCATAGAAAGTCTATCTAACAAATTGATAACAGAAGATAATTCTAGAAGGAATCGTTCTAACAATCACACAGAACATAAACCATATAGGAAAGTAGCTTTCCAAGAAAAATATAGTGGAACATTTAAATGTCATAATTGTGGATCCAGGGAACACAATAGAAGAGATTGCCCAAAATTCTTAAAAGAAAGATATAGATCAGAATACAGAAACAAATACGATTATAGACAGCCTTCCATAGAAAGGCATAGATATAGGAGCCCACCAAATCACAGGGAGAATAGAGGGGGCAGAGACAATTCAAAGGATAGAAAGTCTGGTTCACTGAATGGATTAAATAAACAAGACAACACTAACACAACCCAAAGTGAGGACAATAATTGGCTTATTGATTCTGGAGCAACTAATCACACCACTAATAACAAAAGTATATTGTCTTCATTTGCAGAAGATAAATTTGTAATTAAGGTAGCTAACCAAGAAAAGGTTCAAGTATTAGGTAGAGGAAATGTAAACTTGCCTGGTTTAGGAAAAATAGAGGGGGTATTACTAATACCTGAAATACCTCATAACATATTAAGTGCCATAAAACTAAGCAGAGATTCTGACATTAACATTGTCTTTTCAAAAGGAAAGGCAACTTTGGAAAAGAATAAAATAAATGTAGGCACTGTAGTGACTAAGGGAGGACTACCTTACCTAATAACAAAAGAAAAATGGTTACATAACATTGATTCAAATATGGAAGATTGTATTGAAATAGATGATGAGAATGTTAGCAACAGTGACAATAATGAATGTAAAATATCTCATAATCACACAGATGCACACAACGATAAGAAGCCAAAGATAGGTAAACCAATTCATGATGAGTGTGCTCACATATTGCATAGGAAGTTAGGACATGCCAGTTTTCCTGTAGTGCAAAAAATGACTGAACACGCAGAAGGTGTTAAAATAAAAAATTGTGAAAATTATCTGGAATGCTCAGTATGTAAATCTACAAAACTAAAAACTAGTCCCAGGCCAAGAAAATCTACCAGATCAACTAACAAAATTTTTGATTTAGTACACATGGACTTAGTTGGTCCATTAACTCCATCAATCACTTATAGGAAACGTTACTTCCTGACAATAGTGGACGATTATAGCCGCTATGGATTTGTTTACACATTAAAACACAAAGATGAAACATTTCAAAAATTTAAAGAATTTTACAAACGCATAGAAACACAACACAACATCAAAATAAAACAAATTATGACAGACAGAGGATGCGAATTCATGTCTAAAGAATTCTCACAATGGTTAAAAGACAAAGGAATGTTACATTACACATCTAGTCCATTTTCTCCGTTCCAAAACGGGATTGCAGAGAGAAAAAATTCCACATTACAAACCATGATTAGATGCACATTAGAAGATGCTGGCTTAAGCAAACAATTCTGGTCAGAAGCCTTACATTATTCAAATTACACACAAAATAGAACATGGTCCAGCATTATAAATAAGACACCATATGAAGTGATGTATAATAGAAAACCAAAATTAGCACACATGCATATATTTGGAGTCACAGCAGACGTACACATACCTAAACAATTAAGAAGAAAGGGAGAAAATGTGTCCAGGAGACTCAGATTTATGGGATATGAGACTGGCACTAAAGGATACAGATTCATTGATAGTAACAACAAATTTATAGTCTCCAGAACAGCTGTGTTCCATGAACAAGCTAACTGGTCTAAATTACATCTTAATGAGATATTCCCAAATAAACATGAAGATATGAAATCCCATGAGAAAGGGACTATAGAAAAACAAAATATCAACAAATATAAAAACAAAACCAAAACTTGGACAAATAGCCAACTCAAAATAAAGACAGACACACTAACAAAAAAGGAAGCAAGATATTTGCATGATAACGATAGTAAACCCGAGAAAATCATTAGAAACACCAGAAATCAAATGCCAAATAAATACAAGGATTATGTAATGCATATGAATG